TGCAAAATAGCCTAGAGATGTTTCTGATAACTATTTCATTGTTAGATGTTTACGTATAAATACGAGTTTTCTAAAATCTCATCACATTGTACTAAAAGAATCATCATGGAATTACAAGTAAGATTTATTTTATTAATAGTCTACATTTATTTTAAATAATATTTTAAATTTATCTTTATATAGTTAGCTATCTTATTGGTGTCCGTCGCTGTGGTTTGTGTGGAGATGACCAAAGTTCTAAGGTTACGACTTCAGTTAAAAAATCTATAGTTTTTGACTCTAGAAAGCAAGATAAAAGAGGTCTAATTGATTTTGGATATGGTTTTGCATCTGCTAATAGTAATATGAACACCAATACCAATAATCCATCCGGAACAGGTAGACTAAATTTTAAAAATTATTATAATTTTTATATTTCTCGGTAAGCAATTAGGCGTTTTAAGGATATTATTAAGTAAAATTGTTATTACTTTTATTCATATTACCATTTATTCATATTGTTACTATTCAACATTTACTTTTGAAAATTCAAAAACATCAATAATTTATTCTAAAGTGGATCTGTCCACGTATAATAAGATTCTGTTATACAAAACTGTTATCAAACCTGCCTGGACCTATGGTCTGCAACTGTGGGGTGCAGCCAAGACAAGTAATTTAGCCATAATTCAAAGATTTCAAAATAAAGTACTTATACAAATATATCAGCTCCAAGGTATGCCCCTACGTGGCTAATTCATTAATATTCAAAGTCGAAGAGGAAATAAGAAAAGTTGCTCAAAATTATAAACATCAAATATCATATCATTCAAATAAATTAGCTACAGAATTATATGACATACTCATCCTTTTAGACTCAAAAGAACACAACTTATAGAACTAACCCTATAGATCTAAGTTAGCTTATACTATACTACTGAATTTAACTATTTTTATTATTATTATTATTGGTATTTATTATTATTATTATGATTAGTATTACTATTATCGTTATTATTATTATTGTCATTATTATTATTATATTATTATTATTATTGCGTTTTTCTCTTTTGTTCTGTTTTCTGTAATCCTATAATGTAATGAAGAAAATACGCCTTAAAATAACTTGCTATAAGCTACTAACTTCACTACTATAAGGCCTACTACTGGGCAGCCTTATAACAAAATTAATGTTATTTTATCAGCACAATTACTAAATGTCTATACTAACAGCTTGTAATTTATATCGAATAAAAAAAAGTGGATCTGCCAAAAAACTGCCAGTAGAAACAAATTTCAAACGTGTTGTTTAAGTTCTATTTCAAATAAACTATATCAGTAAATATTATTTTTAGATACTTTTACTGGACGTGTCATATCCGACCACACTATCATCACCAACCAAGTACCAGTAACTGTGCCTCATCCTGTGGTGTACCATCTTCAAGTAACAAAGCCACTTTCTGCAGTCTACCAGGCCCAACCTGTCCAATTTCGGCAAGTTGCAGTACCAGTTCTGCAAGTTCAGCAAGTTCAACAACAATATCCACTTTTGGTCACAAAACGTTATTCGAATCCAGCTGATAATAATCCTATCCAAGGACATTTCTTCGTAAAAGCAGTTCCTGCATCTCAATTGGATTTCGCGCATGGAACTGGATTTATAGGAACTGCTTATGATGGTTATGGAAGAACTGATCAAAATTTAGGGACCATACAAGTACTTAATAATTGATTTTTAGTGATTGGTAATTAAATTATATAAATTTTGATTTTATTAGTTCATTAGCTATGTAAAACATTTGAATATCTGAAATTACATTGATAAAAATTATATAAGAAAGTTTAAGTTCGAACTTGTAATTCAATTTAATACAAAGTAATGTAATAGAACAGAACGTCTTTTTATTTTATTATGATTGACATTATAATACTATTTTGGTAAAACTAACCCAGATGCAATAAATCCAACAAAAAGTGATAAACGATAATTTACCTTGTTCCTGTTGCTGCTGTTGTAGGAAAAAATAAATTAAGAAACGACAAATAAATGGACGGATGAACTTAAGGCAAATTGCTGGAACTTCCCGTACCCGTAAAATTTTTTCTTTTAAAAGATTAACATTTTTGAAAAAAAATTACTCTGAAAAATTAGATTTTTGAGAAACTAAATTTTTGACAAAAATTTACTTTTTTTGAAAAAAAAATTTTTTAAAGAAAAATTTATTTTGAAATATCTTGGAAACTCAGAACATTTTTTCGAAGCAATAGTACTGCTTTAACTGCATAGAGACGAAAAATCGAAGCGCGTAAGCGCCGCGTCGCCGTCTAACAGGTAAACATTGGTACGGAACCCACAGAAATGTAAACAAAATTTATACTTATTGTTAAAATATCTGATAATTTGATGTGGATATGTCTAATGATCATTTTTTGACTGCCAAATGGCATTTTTTTTACGTTTTTTACTAAATCTCCGAAACCGCTAGTCCTGCCTTTATGAAAATTGATCAGTTCTTCATCTTGTTAATACAATTAAAATATTTTTTGAATTATTCAAATCGGACGTTCCGTTCCATATCTTCGGAATGACTATACCTGCCTTCGCCAAAAACTAATCAGCACGCCTCCCTATCAATACGAATCGAATGCTTTTTGAATTATTCAAATCACTTCATCCGTGTTCCCGAAATCGTCGGCGAAAATTTGTATCCGAACACACACACATACATCCATTTTTTTAAGGTATGCCAAATGTTCAGAAGGTTTTGAAACGTAAAGATATATAAAAAATTTCATTTACGATTTTTTTGCGATTACTATAACTTGGCCTATGGGAAGTTAAAAAAATTATAATCAACGAATTTTATTCAGTTTACTTGATCTATTTCGAATGTTAATATTGCGCCAAAAATTGTCTATAATATAATTTTTTTTTTTAATTATTAAATCCTATAAAATATTTTTAAAGTTATTCAAAAATATCTTTTTTGTATATTTTTTACATGTACATCAATTGTATTGAAATTTTGGTTTAGATTTATTGCAATATAACGATTTTATCTCTAGAATTGTTTGATTATTTCATTTTCTATTACTAATATATTTATTTGAATTATTAGAAAATAATATAAAAGAGTATTATAAATAAACAGCTTATCAAGTATATAATCGTAGACCTTACCTAACAAGTAATTGCAATATTGTAAAAAAAATCGCCTAGACGGATGTTGACATTCTATTCGCAAACATGTTACTTTCACTTGGTTTTTATATAAAACTTCAAACAAAAAGAACAATTTATTCGTTCTTTTTAAATGTAACATAGAATAATTTATTATTGGCTACTTTATTATTGTGCATAGTTTTACGTATTATCAATTAATGTATACACATCATTAGATAATAAATTTTAATTAATTGAGTAATTATTTAAATTTAAATAATAGTATTTTAAATTTTTAATGAATACTTTATTTAATTTTTATAAATATTTTTTTATTAATCACTCTTTATGTAAATTTTACTATTAAATAGACACGAAGCCCATTATTTCAAGGCTTTTATCAGATGGATGATATTAACATAATTACATCAGTTTCTTCCAAATATTATAGTAAATGAAACAATTTCTCAATCATTCAATTCAAACTGCATAAACGTTTATTTACAAACAATATAAAACAACAAAACAAAAGCAATTTAACAATACATCAGGTAAATCAACATTAATAATTAATCAGTTCGTATATACATTAATAAAACTGTATATGATCACAGTTTATTTTCAAAAAATTCAGTAAAATGTACTAAATTTTTTGATCGAGTGTCTGATTGGAATTGGGCTAAGAAATTATGATTTATGTTCATAACTTCCACCGCCAGAGGAGCCTCCAAAGCTGTGATCACTTCCTGAGAATGATGAAGCGGAGAAACCACCACTGTGAGAATCAGATCCAGATCCTGATGATGAAGAAAAGTCGTGTCCACCTTCACTTCCGCCACTGCTACCGCCGCCTAAACTGTATCCTTGAGATATCGCTACTTGTGCGTAACTGTCGCCATGAGAAGATTCGCCTCCGGAACTAAAGCCGGATGACCCATGATCGCTTCCAGAAAATCCACTGGAACTGAATCCAGACGAGGAACCATGATCCCCACCTGAAAATCCGCCAGAACTAAATCCAGATGAGCCGTGGTCTCCTCCAGACAAGCCACTAGATCCAAAATCGGAGGAACCGTGGGATTCAGGTAATTTTACGATTTTTTCAACTGGAACTGGGTATGGTTTTGGTACTGGTACTGGGTAGGGTACATGATGAGGTACTTTGACTGGGTATGGAACCGGAACCTGAAATTACATTAATTGATTTATATCCAAATAGACACATTAATATTTTATTCATATGTTTTTTATCTGATTTACCTTAATTGCGTAGGTTTTTGTTACATGGACAACTTTTGGGGGGAGTTTCTTAGGTCCTGAAAATTTTCCCAAATGAATAAAAGAGTGGTCAAAATTTTTTAATGCTTCACGTCCTAAGAGATCATGGCCAAACCCCTCTTCGCCACCATGACCGCCTCCTAATGACAAGCTTTCATGGCCACCTCCTCCAAGAGATAATCCCCCATGGCCGCCACCTCCAAGTGAAAATCCTCCATGGCCACCACCTCCAAGGGATAAGCCTCCATGGCCACCTCCTCCAAATGATAAACCACCATGACTTCCTCCTCCCAAAGATAATCCTCCATGTCCATGACCCAAAGATATGCTCTCATGTCCTCCCAATCCACCATGTCCGCCGGAAGATCCTAACGATAATCCGCCATGACCTCCTGATGAGCTAACTGAAATGGATATATCATGACCTCCAGATGATCCTAGTGATAGTCCTCCATGACTTCCAGAAGATCCAAATGAAAAACCACCGTGTCCACCAGAGGATCCTAATGATAAACCACCATGTCCTCCTGAGGATCCTAATGATATACTTTCATGACCTCCCAAAGATAAACCACCGTGTCCACCAGAAGAACCCAAGGACAATCCGTGTCCGCCAGAGGATCCTAATGAAAGGCCACCATGACCGCCAGATCCAAGTGATAAACTTTCATGGCCACCGGAAGATCCCGAAGATAAACCATGTCCACCAAATGAGCCTAATGACAGGCTTTCATGACCACCAGACGATCCAAGTGATAAACCTCCATGACCACCAGATGATCCGAGTGATAAACCGCCATGACCACCAGATGATCCAAAAGAGAAACCACCGTGACCTCCAGATGATCCTAAAGACAGTCCATGTCCACCGGATGATCCAAGTGAAAGTCCTTCATGACCTCCAGAAGAACCTAGTGATAAACCTCCATAACCTCCAGAAGATCCAAGTGACCAGCTTTCATGACCGCCTGATGAACCAAGAGAAAATCCTCCGTGTCCACCAGAAGAACTGATTGAAATACTTTCGTGGCCACCGCCAGAAGAACCTAGAGATAAACCACCGTGATCGCCAGACGAGCCAAAGGAGAAACTTTCATGGCCACCGGATGAGCCTCCGTCAGAAATTGAATATGAGAGTGAACTTTGGTCTCCTTCTAAGGAACCTGATTGTGACCCTAAATCTTCTTGCACATCGTAAGTCGTGCCTTCTTGTAGTTTTATACTGTGGGCTGTAGCCAGACAAACCACAACTGTGGTGGCGATGATCTGGAAATGGAAAATAATAAAAAATATTTTAAATATAATAGAAACTGAAAATTAACAAACGATAATGACCTATGGATATTTGTAATATAATGGTGATTTATTATTTATCAGCAATAAATAAGATTTATATACAGAAACTAAAAATATTAACAATAATGTTTGATTTGTATAATTTTTTAATATTATTTTTGGTTTTAGATATAAACTATTTAGAAAAAAAGATAATATTTAAGATCGTTGTTTTTTTAAGAAGTGAAATTTTATGCTCTTCTGTGGTAGAAGCATTAGGCAATATCAATATATTTATATTCAATTATTTTAAATAATGTTAATAAATGTTTATTTAAAAATATAAAAATTTATATATCATCTATATATTAAAGATCAAAATTATAACGTTGATATCAAAGAACATTGTGATATTAAAGTAAATATTTTTGAAAATTAAGATCCATATTAGTTGTTAACAATCACTGTTGCAAATTATTATTTTAAAAAAGATTTTACTTGAGTCTAATTTAAATATTAATTATCACAATTATAATCCATTTCACAGACGGCACTATATTAAGAACTTTATAATTTCATATGAATCGGTACATACCAGAATATTCATTTCGCCACTCGTGTTCGATGTTTGGCGTGTAACTGATGGGTTGTGACTGTTAATTTCGAACTATCTACTTTGAGTTTATATATAGAAAGCCTTTCTTTATCGAGTCAACGGCCATTGCCACGATATAGTTTTTTGTTCGATGGTTTTATTTGTTTCGCATGTCCTTTCCTTTCATTCGAGATGGTTATGAGTGCACCTATGCTACAGTTGGCGCATGCCACATTTTTTAATCCGAGAACAAAAGACTAGATTTCAGAATACAAAATTATTTATCACACATTCTTATTTCATTAATATATACGATATTATTCAATTTACACGGTTATTAAATATATTTGCAATTCGTAGGTAACAACTTCCAGGAATCGCCAAACAGATGCTTACGAAAGATTTATATTAATGCACGATTTCTGTTTTTATTTATGGAGCTTTCTTCAAATTTTGCTACACAAATTTAAGGAGTACGAATTTGAATTGCAGTGAAAATTTGACGGAGATTTTTGAATTATAACACTCATATTATATTCCATCTTTATACAAAATGGTTTTAATTTAAAATCAAATTGGTTTTTAGTTGACAATCTTCTTAATCAGCATTATTTAGCTTATAATAGTTATAGTTATGGGCCAAAAAATCGAAAATACAAATTTTTGCATATCTTCATGTTTTAAAAGTGAACATTTTGACATACCTCAGAAAAAATTGATGTGTGTTTGTTTTTTGTGTGTCCGCATTATGTCGTTCAGTTCTTCAGGCGCATGGATCAGCCGATTTGATTGGTTCAAAAAACATTCGATTTCTATTGATAGGATAATGTGCTGATCAGTTTTAGGCAAAGGCAGGTGCAGCTGTTGCGGAGATATGGAGCAAATAGTGCAAAAAATAGAAATTGAGTTTTTAGGAGAACTGAACATCCGATTTGAATGATCTAAAAAGCATTCAATTTGTAATGATGGTGAGAAGTGGTGGTTAGTTTTTGGCAAAGGCAGGACCAGCCGTTTCGAAGATACAAAGCTAAATGTACAAAAAATGGCAGTTTTTGAGAAAACTAAGCATCCGACTCGAACGATTCAAAACACTTTCTGCATGTGTTGGCAGAACAATTGCTTTTAGAAAAAAAAACATTTAATGTTTTTTTCAAAAAAAATGTTTTTGTGTATCGAAAAAAAATCAGATTTTAATTTTAATTCTAGCTAAAGTTCCAAACCTTGTATACTTTAAACAGATAATTTTAACTTTGCAATTCAGTTTATATATTTTCTTATAAATATTAAACAATTTTACAGTGTTTATAATAATCTATTCAAAAATATTTAATATTTCTCGAATTTTTCGTTATGGTACGGAAAGTTTCAGCAATTTGCCTAAAGGTACGAGTTATTTTTACTGATAGGTATAGATACATTTTAGATGTTTTGCAGAAAAATTTCAATACATTTTCAAAACTAATGAATTGGTTCATACTCATCATTACTATTTCAAACCAAAATTTATCTAATATTACTTCTAATCACATAAATAATAATTGCAAAGCCAGTGCAAATTGAATTTAATTTATAGGTAAAATATTAACATTTAATTGCAATATTTTATAGAGCAAAATTGAAAACTAATCTGTATACTTAAACCCAATTAAATAATCAGATCAATTTAACCATGGATGAATAGGGCAAACGAATATTTGAAAAAATATGTAAAGAAAATAAAATATTAATTTTTACTGTTTCTACATCACTCATACAAGTTGCTACGATATATAAAATAAAATATACACTATTAAAATTAGTTTTGATAATTATCTAAGAAATCTTTATTACAGACAAATTTCTATACATAAGGGTGTGAATTAATATTAATGTTTAAAACATTATATTTATATGTGTAACTTAGTCAAAATAAATCTGTCACAAAAATGTGAATTATAATTTATTTTTATATCTATAATATTTTTGAGTATAAGATCAAAATTCTTTTTTTTTTCAAATTAAATTCTCTGGTAATGCCAATAATATTTTGTTTTTCATATTATCGTTCTACAACTTTATTTGTACATCTTATTATCCCAATTCATTTTCGTTTTTTTCTAAGCTGAAATTTGTAAAAAGTTTTTCAATCCCTGACTGCATTTACTTACTACTAAATTGATCTAACCACATAAAAGCGAGAGTAACTTTTTTCTCTGAGTAAATAAACTGTCACAGTTAACTCATGTGCGTTCCTGTAACTGGTTACAACACCTTGGGATGATGTAAATATAGGTAATAATATTAAATTCTAATATAAACTAGTGGTGTATGGCATCGTGCTTTAAGGTAAATTGCTGGAACTTTCCGTACCGTAACGAAACACTCGAGAATTAATAAATGTTTTCAAATAGATTATTATGAATACTGTAAAATTGTCTAATATTTATAAGAATATATAAATTGAATTACAGAGTTAAAACTAATTATTTAAAATATATAAGTGAGCCTTACAACTTTAGCCAGAATTAAATTTTTTTTTTTTTTTTTAATTTTATTTGAACAGCAATCAGAACTAATGGGTTCTATGAGCTGTTGTGAGTAAGATCTTACAAACTACGTTTGTTTTATTACAGATGGCAACCCAAACAGTTGTCACATCTCTGTATGATAAATTTTTATTACAATCTCTGTAATAGGGCAAGTATGGTGCAACAATGCCGGTGAGGGCTATTTTCACTTGGAAACATATTGCTATCTATAAGAATTAAAATTTAAATCTGAATTTAAATTTCGAAATAAAATAATTGTTTTTTCCATAAGCAATCGTTTTGTCAACAAAAGCTGAAAGTTTTTTTAATCATTCAAATCGGATGCTTAGTTCTCACAAAATCCGATATATTTTACATTTAGCTCTGTATCTTCGAAATGGCTGGAGCTGCCTTTGCTAAAACCTAATCACCACTTTTCTCACGTATTTGTAATCACCCCATTACAAATTGGATAATATAAAATACAAAAATAAGATACTCCGTTCTCTCAATAAATCTATTTCTATTTTCACTGCACTCTATGCTCCGTATCTCCGTTACGGCTGGACCTGCCTTTGCCTAAAACTAATCAGCACGTTTCCTTATCAATAGGACTCAGCTCCTTTTTTTGAATCATTTAAATCGGTTGAATCGACCACACAAAACACACAAATATTTTTTTTAAGGTATGCCCAAATGTTCAGAAATCTCTGAAACGTGATGACCTGCAAACATTTTCATTTTCAATTTTTGGCCTATTATTATAATTTACCCAATGGGATAATAGTAATATATGGAATAATAGTAATATATATTATTTTAAATTATTAAATATTTAAAATAATTAAAGTTTGTAACCTAAATTTTGTAGAAAGAAATAATTATATACATTTACGGAGGAGGTACTTATATTAGCATTATTTTAATTACTTGACAGAATTTGGAAAAATATTAAAAACTATCCGAATTTCAAATTAAAGATTGCAAAAATGTGCTAGCCTTAATAATTAAGGCTTCTATACCATAGCAAGTCTCTTATACATTTATTAAGTAAAAAAATATTACAAAATCTTCAGTTTGATATCAAATCGGGAAACACAAAAAATTAATATTGTATTAAGATAATTGAAAAGTGTTGAAGTAAATAATTAATTAGGTATAATACTAGCCAAAAAATTATTTTGAAAATTACTTGTATGGCATTTGGCAATTTAAAATTTCTTAAAAATTATAAATTGTCACCTTTCTACAAGGTCTTGCACACCTGTCTACGAAGTAATAGCATTCTATGATTTCTGTCAAATAAGGAAAACGATATTATGTACCAATACCCAAAATTATGCAATATTAAGTTTTTGACACTGAAACGTCTAGTTTCATTGTTCACCGCTAGGAGTAAAAAAAGTTACTTCAGACCTTGATTTTAGTTAGAGGTCCTCATTTGTGCCATTACTTTGGCGGCAGTACATATCAATATTGTGTGCGTTAATTAAGTATTTTGGTGTATTATTTTAATTTGTAGTAGCTAATAGAAATAATTCAAGCGTAATATGTGTTGTGTGAATATTATCGATGGCATATATTTTATTTTCTATAGTTTAAATTTTTTCTTAAGACCATTTGCCAGACTAAATTCTCACGATGGTCATAACCTATTAGTGTATTTGTGTAGCTGGAACTCGAGATTGTAGTTTCAGAATTCAGTAAGTAAACGATGGAG